AACTGTTTTTTTTTTTTTTTTTGGGGTTTAAAAAAAAAAAATTTTTAAAATTTTTAAAAAAAAAAAAAAAAAAAAAAAAGATAAATAGGATAGATACAGTGAGTGTTTCCAATCATCTATAAGACAAAAAACAAAGAGATCCATAAATCACCTTCTGTTTTGGAAATTCTGATAAAAAGAGGACTTAATACTAAAAACCTGCATTTTGTATTATATGTGTATTTGAAATCATTTGTTGGTTCTCGCTCATTTGAAGTCAAAGGGATTCCTTTACACACTCTGATTTAAAGGTCTGAGTTTATAACTCTCGGTCCATGTTTTGCATCGATCTGCTTCCATGTCAGGAGGACAACGGCGACTACACGTATGTGGAGCGAATCCGGATTCCTCTGAGCCACGGGACTCTGCTGCTGATGGAGGGAGCCACGCAGGACGACTGGCAGGCAGGTTTTAACTCAGTTTTAATCAAGAGTACAAGACTTTCACAACCAAGCCTCAACGTTTACAGTAAATAGTCTTGTGCTTTGACTGAGTTCCTTCCACCACTGACAGGCGGCCAGGACTGTCAGTGTTTAGAGCCTCACCTTTCAAGAAGAGACATTTATTTTAGGCTCAGGCAGCTTCTTGGTTTAAATTAGTGGAGGAAACTTAAAGTGCGCAATAGAATGAGGGTATGATACGGTTTGCAGGATAATTTCACATGGGTAAAATCATAACTTTGTGACAAAAACAAAGGTTAAACACATTGTGTCATTAAGGGTTGATTTATTTCACTTTGTTTAGAGAAAAAAAATCACAGAAAGCTTAAAACCGCCAAACTACATGAGAGTTTTGTGTTTTTTTTAAGCAAAATAAAGCATTCAGCAGCCGTTTTAAAGTAAACTACAAGGCGCTGTTAGCATCATCATTTAATTATTTCTACAATCGGTGCCATACAGTTACTTAAAAAAAAAATGACAAAAAATTCAAAATGGGAAAAAAAAAAAAAACTGAAAATATGTTTGTATGTTAAAATCTGAATTTTGTAATCTTTTGTGATTTTTGTTTATGTTAAAAGTGGTGGAGTTTAATCATGAAAACAAAATTTCTGGGTCTCAATAGCAGAGGCTCATAAACAGTGCCATGAGGAACGCCACAGAGAATCAGAATTAGAATAGATTCATTGTTATTGTGCATGAAAGCTCTTAACATTGTTAGCACACGTTCACATCAAAAATTGTATGAACGCTGTTTGTACTCCCCCATGAGGTTTCTTTTTTTTTTTCTTCAAAGCTTTCCATTGTTTCCCTCTCATTAAACAGAATTAGTGGAGTCGTAAAGTGACAAACTAAAGAGCAAGAGAATAAAACACGTGGAAAGTAAAGGGCCAGGATAAAAGCTGTGAGCGCTAACAGAACATAAGATAAGGTCAGGGCTGTTTTATGTTGACGTCTCTCCAGCTGACCCAACAAAGGCATCGGTGGAGCTTTAGATTGAGTTCAGGGAGAGGAGATCACTCAGGTCATTAATCAGCAGTGAGAGTCTGAATGTCTGCCCTGCCTGAAGGGCTCCGCTTTAAAAACAGAGTAAGTTGTTTTTTACGCAAGTGTGAGTGTGTGTAGAAGATTTAAAGAGTCAACAAGCATACTGGATCACCGATGCAAAAGGTCCACATACTGTTAATAAGCTGATCTAAAGGTGAAGGACATTTACTTAGGCTGAGAGGTGAATAAACAAGTCTTGTTGGTGGATGCCATTTATTTCACGCCACTGTTTCCTGTTTTCTACTTTTGCTTTTTTTCCCCCCTCTCTTTTTAATAGACTCGGATGTTTCATCAAAATGGCGGCGTGGTGTTGACTTTAATAGAGACCAGGAAGAGCTGAGGCTCAGGTGGTTTTACTGTATGACACTGAATTTTATGGAACAGTGTTGAATTTGAGAATCTTTGCATTTTAGAAAACTTAGAGGTAACGTAATGGTCTTAACTGTGGAGTTGAAGACAAAGAGGGACGTTTATGTTGGGACAGATTATTCCTCAGATTAAATTAATTGAACCCATCACTGATTTAAAATCCAGTTTAACTCCAAATAGTTTTTTTTTCTTTGTTTTAATATGGTAAACGATTTTTAATACAAACACCCGGTAGGATTTTCCTCTTCTCCTTATGTGAATTATTAATAAATCTCTAACCAGAGATTTCTCATTGGTTGTCATTAGCCAGTTTGATGTCTCTTCTTTCCTATTATTGCTTTAAAATAAGGAAAAAATGTTCATACTATTCTCACATTTATCATTAAAAGTAATAGAATCTGAACGGTGAATAGGTTAAAAGACTGCAGTATGTAACTTTTATAAAAAATATATTTTTTAGATTGAAACTGTCCAGGTTGTGACGGTTGGGAATGAGATGGGTAATCAAGCTCCTCTGCCTTCTCCCTGTACTAATCAGAAGCAACCAATCAGAGGCAGGAAGAGGGTCTTAGTGCTGTCAATCATGCTCTTGTACGTACCGCTGATCCCACAGCTTCTGTTTTGAATGCTAAGGCTTGTTAGCATAGCCACCAATGACGGCAGTAACGGTTTTCCTGGAATGGTAAGTTGTTTCTCCATCATTAGCACATTTAGCAGCGGGAACTTGAGTTGATTGACAGCGCTAAGACCCTCCCCCTGGCTCTGATTGGCTGTTCTTCATCAGAAGCGGTGCATTTCTTCAGACGGCAATAAGATAAGATTATCTGTCTCAACATATCACATATCACAACATAATGACAGTTTTAACAAATGTGTAAAACAAATATATATATTTTTATAAAAGTTACGTTCTGCATCTGTAAGTGTTGCACATTAGCAGACACTTGGCCACGTTCCCGATACTTTATCAGACTCTTCCTGGAGCATTTCAGACGCTTTCCTCATCAGTCTTTTTCTCTTCATCAGCATCAAGTGGCAAAGGAATACCACGACCGGGGCCCGCGCATCAACCTGACCTTCAGGACCGTCCACCCGGAGCCGGAGGGCCACAGGCCCGGCACAAAAATGAGGTTCACAGCAAAGAACCCGTAGGTTCCTCTCTGAGTCAGGTACCAACGGCTGGTGAAGGAAAACTTCATCGCTTAAATGAAGATATGTTTTTGAAGAAGGAGGTATGAGTTGCAGTGTAAATTATCACATAGTCCTGCTTAGTTTATATAATCAGAGAAAACTGGTTGAGAAAATAGTATTCAACATTTCTGAGGCTGTAATAACATACTTTTTCTGATTTCCACCCTAATGAATGAATTTCATCAGTTCGATGTAAAATCTGGCCAAAATATATTTTTGGACAACTGTTTTTGGATGACTGTCAAATGTTTGTGTTGGTTCGTAGTGTAAGAAGGATCTGGAGTGACTAATGTGTAAAGAAACTGTTCAGGATGTTCATTTTAAGTTCTTTTCTTTTTTTAGCCACTCGGGTCAGCTAGCGACAGGAAGTGGGTTTATTAGTGGGGATAAACGTTCTTGGAAAAGTTGATCAAACAAAACTATTTTGTTTTTTGTTTGTTTAATTTTCTTGACAAATGTTCAAATCCTAAAATAATAAAAACACGAAAGCTTTATGGAAATTGAAGTCTGTAGTTTTCTGTATCCGAGAAATAAAAGGGAGACTTGATGTGAGAAACTGCAAAATTATTTCAACCACTTCATTTTCTGAAGTTTGTCATGTGACAACATAAACTGAATCCATCAGCTGAGCTGTAGAGTTTTAGTCTTAAACATTGTGATGTAAATGGAGGATTGACTCTCTCTAAATCTTTTCTGTAAAGTGAAAGTGTTGCTACTTGGCAGGGAACTGAAGACAAACCTGAAGCTGATTTATCTTCATTTTTATTTTTTATCAGACGATGAGGAAATTTGATTTAGTGTGACTTAATGAAATAGATCTACAGCTGGAACCAAGATATTTTCATAAACTGACTAAAAACAAACATACGTGCTTTTTTTCTCACTGCCTGAAGTTAAATCTGACCAAACCTTTCTTGATTTAGGTCTGTTAGAATTACCAAAATTATTTCTATTTCCCAGCTGCCAGAAAACTTTGCGAGAATATTTTTAAGAGAGCTTTTTTTCCTCTTGAATTCAAAAGTTTACATACGTTTATCACCATCCAGGACAGCCATCTTCTAAACTGTACGACTTGCGGCTTCTCGATGTTTATTAGACGATGGGTCACTGGTTATACAACCTCGACCTTCTGGTGGGGAGCCAGTCATTCTTCTGGGCTCTCCATGTACTTTATTAATAGTCCCTTTCAGCATGGGAACTCTAACTTGGTCACAACCCAACTATCCTCTGGTAAACTTGTATTGAGGTGTGATGTAACATCTCTCAGCTCCTGCAAGATGAGAAGGTTGTTTTGAAACTGAAGCTGAATTAAACAGCTTCTCGGCACTATGTATTAGAGAAAAGCCTGCCATGAGGAAACTATGCAGCTCAAATATGGTTTACCGACAGCTTCACGGCTAAGCCTGGTGAAAAAGAAAATCACTTTTTCAAGTCATTTACTTTTTTACAGACAAAGCTGTTTGAGACTCACCAGAACCAACTGATAAAAACCATATAATGGGGGTTTTCTTTATTTTATTTTATTTTTTGTAATATTGTGTGTTTGATAAAAAAGAAATATTTGCTTTTTCTGTATTCTTAGTAAAAAGGGGTAGTATTATGTATTTTCCAGAAACATAGTGCCCTTTCGTAGCACAGTTAACTATGTTACCTTCAGTTGTCGAATATGACTTGAAAAAATTTTTACTTCATAATTTAAAGCCTTGAAATTGGGCCTTTGTCTCTTTAAGAAACTCCTGTTTCTGAAACTCCACCTTCAGGAAGTCATCACACCATGGCTCCTCTATTAACCCTTTAATAACATTTTTACCAGAGTTTCACTGAAAAGTAGCTCCTATAGTGAGCTCTGATGTGTAGTTTCACCAGGTGTTGGCTAATTGCTGCTAACTAGTCTAAAGGAGCTGAGTGGGCGGGGCTAGGTCCACCCAGGTGTGTGGAACAGCTGAGGTTTCTCAAACATGTATGAAAGAATCAAAGCAACACTCCAGGTATGGTTTTGATTAGGTAATAACATTAAAACATGATAAAAGCTAAAAAAAAAAAAAAAAAAAAAAAAAAAGTTGATTTTACGGGATACCCCCCCTTTAAAAAAAACATTTTTGTGGCAAAAACTGGGGAAAAAAAAAT